CCCTCCAGCAGCCTTCCTCTTCCCCCTACTCCTTCTCTTCTGCCTCACATCTGCTTGCACATTAGTGTCATTCAGCTAGCGATCCTTCATGTGCTTCTGCGGAGTGGCTCAGATATATATATATAGAATAGTTATTATAAATAATGACTGACAAAGCAATTCCTCTCAATTCACTTTGCGGTCTGCTGGGTTTCTAGACATGATTTAAATCTAGAAATTCTTCTCTTGTTAAAAATACTCTAGTATCCTACAGTTGGGTTCAGGACAGCGCAGCTTACATCAGCATTTTGGACTAGTTGAAAATACCTCAGTATTTTTCCTATTAGTGCTGCTTGCACGGTGGTCCTTTTTTTGGAGTCTCACCCCCTCTATGAGCCATCTGGGGGCGTGGAAATGTCTGTGTTGTCATCCTGTTCCTGTCTGCTGTTGCTGGTAGGTTTAGAAATATGCTTTCCTTTGCTGGTGGCAGTGGAAGTGTTTCAGAGGGGGTCTGCAAAGGGACTGCTTTGCAAATGGCTGCACTATAGAAAGAAGCCTCTTGTAGTGTTAACGCTATAGCCAGCACCCATGTGTGCATCCCCTGATTAGTAGAAACAGGCCATCTCCGCTTGGCGTTGTACATTTTGGCTAAATAGCTGTCTGCCAGGCCAGCTCCCCCTTCAGCCCCCGTATTCCTGGCTGCATTATAGGAGTGCCGCACCTTGTCTTCCTCTGCAGATCTTCCTGCTCAGCAAGCAGGGCTCCAAAATACGCCTTGCCAAGTTGAATCAATTAGCCCGCAGGGATCGACTACCTTCCGTGCCACGTGCAGGACTAAACTCGTTCATCACCAGGAGGGTCAGGTCAGGCAGGCTAGAGGTCGCAGCCCTCACTAATGAATTAATATGAGGGTAGAGGGGTGCAGTGCTGCTGCCCTCAGCGCTGTTCTGCCCACAGAGATGAATCGTCTGCAGCTCTAATGTCATGCTTCTCTGAAAGGCAGTGCAGGGGGGAGGGAGGGGCTCCTTTGTGTAGTGGCTTCTGCCGGGCTGTTTATTTAGAAATAATTTCCTCTTCCAGGTGGCACCAACTGTAAGTAGAACAGCACTCCCCCTCCTCGTAAAGCTTCGCTGCTATTCCTGCCACACTTCGTTTTTTAAAAAAGAGGGAATTTAAAAGATGAAACCTGCAGTCTCTCAATCCCTCCCGATGTCTTTATGTTCCTCTTATCACCACTGCAGCTCCTGGCCTACTTTGCGGATTACTTTTTAGCATGTTAAATCCAGTCGATAAAGGCTTTTTTTCTTCCCACTAAAAAGACCGATCAGAAAAATCTCTGGATAAGAGCAACACAATAGGCCTTCTGTTTCCAAATGAGATTGCACTTGAAATCCTGTTTTTCTTCCCCCCATACATATAACAGTACTTCAGCAATCCACCAGCTTGAAGAAGCTCTCGGTATATTTAGGATTGGTGCGTACAACAAGAAATTGGTCAGCCTATAATGCGCACTAATTATTTCTGGTGCATTTTTAAAAATAAATATACGTAACAGATGTATAATCCTAAACATATACCAAATGTGCTGAGAGAGGGGGAGTGGTATCTACAGATGACTTGTTCATTTGTTGTAATATCCAGTAGTGGTTATCTTGTGTTTGGTCACTGCCAAAGTGTTTGCACTTTCCTCTGAAACACCTGGTGGTGGCCACTTGCAAACAGGACTGAGCTAAGGAAGAGCCATGGGGCTGTTGCAGACTGGCATTGCCCATGTCCCTGTGGCGGCGAGGGGCAGAGGGTTTCGTTCTGTACTAGATGCACAACAGAAGGCTCAGCCCCGCAATGTAACAAAACCAGTATGAACAGGGAGATACAGAACAAGCAAAAGATCACTTGGGGTCACCCACTGAATGCTTCAGGGCCAGCTGACCACAGTCAGTACCCAAGGGTCCTAGCAGCTCAGGAGACAGCCCTCCTCTTCTTTACTTTTTTCATGCAGAGCAGGCAAGGATCCCCAGCTGCGGAGGAAGTTATTGTCTCAGTTATGCACTCACATAGCACATTTTTAAGAGCTCTATGTGCTTCGCAAAGGCAAGCAGAAATTCACGTTCCATGCATCTGCTCTACAGAGAGAAGCCGAGATCCGGACAGCCAAGTGCAGGCACTTAACTAGCTTACACACAGAGCACTTCAAAGGGACCCATGAGGATGAAGGATTCACCTGCTCGCCCACATCATCAATAAAGGATAGGGCTGCCCCATGGGCTCAGGTTTCCCTGCTACACATATTTGCCATGAAAATTAAACATTTAAAAATAATTTTAAAAGATCTTTCCAGTACTTAACACCTTTGATCAGGGGCAGAAACTCCTGATGAACAGCAGTGATGATTACTGTATCACTTAAATGTGATTAGCACAGTTGCTTACTCCGAGGAAGTTATTCCTTTCCTATTACTGATAAGATGGTGCAAGGCGAGCGGAGCATGTACCCACTTCATCGCTTCCTAAGCGTGGCACATCCCCAGATTGCATTACAGCATCCCATGGAGCAAAGAGCCGAACGATTTGATTTCAGACCCTCCTTTCTGCTTTATAGTAGACTGGACATGGCCTTTACTGGAAATAGGCACGATATCTTAAAATTCTCCGAGCACAGCAGTTACGTAGATGGAAGGGGCCTGATCTAATATTTGCTTTTCAGTTTCTCTTGTGTGAGACCACCACAGGTACGCAGAGATTAGTCATCCTCCAGTAATCTTCATTCTTCTTACAGGAATATATATATTAGTAGTCCTCTCCACAGGTGATATATATGATGTTAAAGTGATAATTATGCTTTGTTGATATGATAGAGCAGGTTAGAAGCCTTTGTGGTTTGCATCACTAACCAGTTTAGTTTTTTTTTTAAACAAAATAGCTTAAGACAAAATTTAATTCTCCTTCAACCAACCAAGCATTTGTTTTAGGCTGATGCTGTGTGCTCATTGCCGCATAAAGCTGAGTTGTATGTTCAGAATTTGCAAGCTGACTGGGGGATTTAGCCACACAGCACCCATAAAGGGAGATTGATGAGGATCACTGCACCCACTGATATGCAACTGCTTGTGGGGAATAACTTGATGGTTGATTAACAATGCATAGCCCCACCACAAAACACTGAATGGTGATGCAAGAAAATGGGGAGGGGAGTTTAGCTAAAACCCCTGCTTGGCTTTTGCAGGTCCCAAGCATAGCTCCTATCCAAAGG